ATATTACCGTTTTTTTTCAGCCTCTGTGAGCATATAAAACTTCTTTCAAAAACATAAACTTACTGACTCAACTTTTGAACTACAGTATTTTTTTATAAAATTCTATCTGTTTATTCTTAATATTTTATTATATATTTATAAACAGTTTTTAGATATACAATTAAAATATAGTTAAAATATTGAAGTTTTAATGCAGTTTATAACAAAGCATTATAATGTAAAAGGAATAAGAAATATCGAAGGTTCTGTAACATTTCAAAGTAATTGATCAAATATGTGGAGTCAATGCTTGAGTTTTCACTCAAATTCACTCAAATATTACCCTGATCGTATAAATATGTATTAAATTAGAAAAAGCATTTTCACTAGTGGGCTGAGACTTTTGGACCCCACAGTTGGTCAAGCCAAGTTTTTTGAAAGGAAAAATCACAATAGTCCAGGACCAGGTCTACACTGTGCTTGGAAACTGGTCTGTTTCTAAAAAACATTGTTTATCCTATGGTTCAAACAAGCAATAGTTTAATTGTGATATTTCCTTCTTCCTTTTGTCATGGACCGTCATCATGACTTCTTAATCCCCTGAAATCCCTCTTGATCCCATCTTGATACCTTTTAACTTGCATCCATACCTACATTTCCCTACTATCCTTAACAATCCCACACCAAACACATAATATCCCTCCCTGTACCCTCTGTCCCATACTGGCTACCCAGTTCCTGGAATCAGGGAAAGGGACTGTGCAAGTGGAAACGCAAGAGGGCAAAGAGAAGAATGACAAAATGAAAGCTAAACAGGCAGAGCAATGGGCTACTATCGCCAGGCAGGTAGGACCCTGATCACCTGGCAACAGTGATGCAGTAGTCCTGCAATTTCTGTTCTGTCTGTTTTTAGGCTTGTCATTTTCGTTATGTTAACTAGCCCCTGCTGACCAAACCTTTTTTGCCTTGAAGAGAGCAAACTGTTGCTTTAATTTAATAGTGCTTTTAATGTAATTATCGCTGCAAGACACCAGGACTGTAGAGCTAATGCCCTGCTCACACTGTTTTTCATTTGTGCCCAGCTACTGAAACCACTTTGACTTCCTGCAATAGTGAAGGTACACTGAACATTGCTTGCTATTTTTAAAATAGAGAGGAAAGGAAAGATGGATGAATGAGGGTGAGATTTTATTTTATTCTTCTGTCGGTCTCCCAATCCCTCTTTATCTTTTTCCATTACATCCTTTCTTTATTCCCCCACTCTCATTCATCACAATATGTTGTCTTTTTTCCCCTTTAGCTGAGTAGTTTAAGCATTTGCAGGCTCTGTGATGTATCATTGAGGCTGCTAACAGCCTGGCATGTCGCTGTGCTTGGTAGGTTTCGGCAGAATCTGCAGAATCTTGGGTAGATGAGTTCACTGCTTACGGGCCAGACTTCCAGCAGGCCAAAGCAGCGGTCGAGGTGAGACAGACTGCACGCTTGCACATGTTTACATGAACTTCAGTGTGATACTGTATTCACTGGTGCTTGTGTGTTGATATGTGTGTGAGTTCAGAGTGATGTTGATTTCTGGGAGAAACTCCAGCAGGAGTGGGAGGAAATGGCGAAGAGGGATGCTGAAGCTCACCCTTGGCTCTCAGACTTCGACCAGATGCTCAGCAGCTCTTACGACAAGGTATCTGGTTAATGCACATCTGTGCCCATTCACAGCATGGATACTTCCACCTAATTAAAACTTTTGAGTCCTTTCCTAGGCTGTAGTCTGTACTTTATTACAGTTTATACAACAGTTGGTTCCAGTCTTTGGCTTCACTAGAAACTATTGTCATTGGCAGAGCAAAAATAGGCAGAAAAACTTGGCAATATTGTGTCTAAAATACAAGTTACTTAATATGAACTAATAATTTATTGAACTGTTGTTTAAAAGCAATGTCACCCTCACAAATCATGCTGTTACCTGTGGCCAATAGTCAGAAGAACAGCATCTTAAAAGTTGCATGCTATACATCCACTCTTTTCATACTTTCATTTCAAGTTTAAATTTTCTGCACAAAATTATTATTATTTTTTTTTTTCAATTTAATTTTCCTTAAGTAGATTTTTTTTAATTGTTCAGATTCCAGAAACACTACTGTTCAAATGGTTTGGGATGATTTTTAAAATGTTTTTGAAAGAAGTTTTGAAAGAAGCTCATGCTTACCAGGGCTGCATTTATCTTATCAAAAATACAGTGAAAACAGTAATTATTATTCAATATTATTACAATTTAAAATAATTGTTTTCTTTTTTTATAATATTTTAAAATGTGATTTTCCTGTAATGTCAAATCTGAATTTCCACCAGCCATCACTCCAGTCCTTAGTGTCACATGATCCTTCATTAATGTTTCTAATATGCTGATTTGGTGCTCAAGAAACATTTCTTATTATTATCAGTGTTGAAAACAGTTGTGCTGCTTAATATTTTATGGAAACCATGTTTTTTTTTTTCAAGATTCTTTAATAATTTATTTGAAAAATAAATCTTTTGTTACATTATAAATGCCTTCACTGTCACTTTTGAACAATTTAATGCATCCTTGCTGAATATATTTGTTTTTTCAAAGAAAAACTATTTTTTTCAAATTTTACTAAACTTTTGAATGGTAGTATAATTCATTCACAGATAAATAATTTTTTCAAAAAATAGCAAAAAAACTAAAAACAAAAACCTGAGGAAATATAATTTGTGAATAGTTACTTTAATGTTATATATAACATTAAACTTATTGTGAATATGTCTTTACTTTTCTCCTAGGGGTATCAGTTTGAAGAAGACAACCCCTACCTGTCCCACGATGATCCGTTTGCTGAGGGCGTGAAGAGGATGGAGGCGGGGGACATTCCTGGAGCCGTTCGTCTCTTTGAGAGCGCAGTTCAGAGAAAGCCAGACAACCAGCTGGTCAGAACCTCATACATATAATCCCCACATCCAAAAACTGATGATACATTTTGTCTCAAGGGATTCTAACTGTGTTCTGCTTTCTTGTTTGTTTTTGTGAAACACTGACTGCATGTGATGGTACTGCAGGCTTGGCAATATCTGGGCACCTGCCAGGCAGAGAACGAGCAAGAGTTTGCTGCTATCAGCGCCCTCCGCAGGTGAGAAATATAACCGCAGTCTTACTGTGCACAGCAGTTAAGTTCTCTGTGACAAATCTGATTTATTAAAATACTGCTCCCACCTTTTTAAATTCATGTCTCAATTGTTGTTTTCAGATGTATTGAGCTGCAAAAGGACAATCTGACGGCTCTCATGGCTCTAGCTGTGAGCTTCACCAATGAGTCACTGCACAGACAGGCCTGCGAGACGCTTCGTGATTGGTTGAGGCACAACCCTAAATACCGGCATATCCTCGAGCAGCATGAACGAGAGAAGGAGCGTGAGGGTGTGAGGGAGAGGGAGAAAGAGAGGGAGAGATTTGGATCCCTTCTTCCAGAGTAAGCGGATTCTTGAATGCTGTAAAGAATTATTCTATACATGATGAGTGACACTACATTTTGTTGATTGCACCGGGTACACCACACTGAAATCTCATTGACCTGAAGTATGGCTCTTCCTGTACACAAGTTTGGGGTCAATACAAATTTTTTACAAGAAATTTACACTTTTATTTAGCAAGGACACATTAAATTGCTTGAAAGTGATTGATCAAAAATATTGATAACTTGATCAAAAGATAAATGCTGTTCTTTTGAACTTTCCATTCATCAAAGAATCCTAAAAAATGTTTCACAGTTTTCACTAAAATATTAAGCAGCACAACTGTTTTCAAATAAGAAATGTTTCTTGAGCAGCAAAACAGCATATTAGAATGATTTCTGAAAGATCATGTGACACTGGACACTGCAGTAATGGCTGCTGAAAATTAAGATTTACCATCACAGGATTACATTTTTGTTTATTCCTGAAAGGATTCATCAAAAAGTATTCTCGTAGCTTCGTATAATTGCGGATGAACCCCTGATGTCACATGGATTATTTTACAGATCTCCTTGCTTTCTTTCTGGATTTGGGAACATTTCAGTTGCATTGCTGTCCATGGAGGGTCAGACAGCTCTCAGATTCCATCAAAAGTATCTTAACTTGTGTTGTGAAGATGAACGAAGGTCTTATGGGTTTGAAACGACATGAGGGTGAGTAATTAATGACAGAATTTATTTTTGGGTGAACTAACCCTTTAAGTTAGAGGCTAATCCATTCTTTCACTTGTTCTTCCTCCTAGGGCACTGTTTAATGAAGTGCAGACGTTGTTTTTGAGTGCAGCGGCCGCTGAGCCCACATGGGTGGACCCTGAGCTGCAGTGTGGTCTGGGCGTTCTCTTCAACCTGAGTGGAGAGTATGACAAGGCTGTGGACTGCTTCACTGCCGCCCTGTCTGTGACGCCACAGGTTGGAGTCTACAAATTGCTTGCTATATTCTGCTCATTTATACAGATTGTTCATCAGTGTTTTAGTTCACATTCTTCTTTCTCTCAACACTATGTGAAGGATTATCTGCTGTGGAACAAGTTGGGAGCGACTCTTGCAAATGGGAACCGCTCAGAAGAGGCGGTCGCTGCTTACAGGCGCGCACTGGAGTTACAGCCTGGATTTGTACGTAGCCGATATAACCTTGGCATCAGCTGTGTCAACCTGGGTGCACACAGGTTAGTAAGAGAAGGTTTCACCAGGGTGCACAGGCCAGAAAGAGCTAAAACACCACAATGAATGGCATCTCTTTATATCTCAATCAGGGAGGCAGTAGAGCACTTCCTAGAGGCCCTTTCTCTGCAGCGACAGGCCGCAGGTGATGGAGAGGGAGGTGCGAGTCGAGGGCCAGGTGCAGCAGTGACTGTGATGTCAGACAACATCTGGTCCACATTACGCATGGCACTGAGCATGATGGGAGAAAGCTCGCTTTATTCAGCAGCCGACCAGCGAGATCTGGACACTCTGCTTGCACACTTCTACCAGAGAGAAGGAGAGACAGAATGAAGGATGGAGGAGATGAAGGAGCGCAGGAAGATAGAATGTGAGTGTGGAGAAGCCCGTTTTGGAGAGAAAACAACACGAGTGGAGGTGTGCATTTCAACAAAGAGGCATGACTTTTAGAGGCGCTACAATGTGAGGAAAATAAAAAGAGAGAACAAAACGACGTTAATGGACAGACGGATGAACTGATGACTGTACTTGAGAAAAAGATGTTAAAAAGTCCATGGTACAAACCTGCTACGGTTTTTGTCACAAGTTTATGCTTACAGAGATTCTGTTATAATTTTTCCATTTTGTTAATCTTGAAGATTACGGTTCTTTCCATTGTCCTTATCAAAATTGCTCTCATATTTCTCAAATGGGGAAAGTAAGGCCCCTGCACTGTGAGCTCAAAATACTTGCCTCTGTTTGACACAGAGACGAGGTATGTGGAGATATAATTGTGTTCTACATCAATTTGGATCCTGTTAAGAGTAACAGAAGTGATTTGCAAGCCTTAAAGTTATATTGGCAACTTCATTCATGAGTGACAGAAGGGCTGTATACTGAAAGACATGTCTGTAAGCACTATTTCTTATTGGATATTTGCTTTTGCTGTAAATTAATTTGCTTAATTGTAAATTCTACATGCCATATTGTGTATTGAATCATAATGATTAGTGTTTTGCATATAGCCAATTCAAATAGCTATTATGATCTATGTAATTCAAGCAATAAAGCGTTGACAAAAAGTGCTTGATAACTAATTAAAAAAATATTTGAAATTTGTTTAAAATGTTTATATATAATTAACTAAGG